TAATTTAAAATGAATAAAATGAATGAATAAAATTCGCGAATATTTAACGAAGATTTGTTCAAATTACTTTACGAAAAGTTTTCTTTCTAATCGAAAAATTTCCATTTTACATAAAAATGATTTATGTAAAAATATAGAAATGAAAAAGAAATTATAAAACGCTGAATAAATTCGATGATTTTTTTCTACTATTTGCTTAGTTCAATAACGATTTTTTTGACCAAATTTTTGAATTTTTTTTATTTTTTTAAATTCATTATAAATTTTCAACGCATCAATTTAGTGAGAATTGATTTTAGAAATTTCCTCACAAATTTTTTCTCTATTTTAGGCATTATTTGAGTATTTTTTGGAACTCACAGGATTACAATTTTTTGAATCATCGAGACACTCGCAGGTTACTTTATCTTAAAAGATACTTGCACGGGAAAATATGCGATGAGACGAAAATATGAAAACTGTGTGCATGCAAAGAGAAATGTTTTGAGAAAAGAAAAATAAATTTTTATCTGCCACGAAATGATTGCTGTAAAGCGGAAATTTCGCAGAAAGCTGGTTAAACCTCAATTTTAAAATTTTTAAAAAAAAGCCATTGTTGACAATCCGAGAGTAAATTACAGTTCACATAAAAAAGGTGAATTAATTATTGTTCATCATTGTCATGGCAAACGTACTCTTCGCCTCATTGATCGTTCTTCATTTCATCAAGTTTAGCTACGGTGAGAATGCGAATATTAAAGAATGCGCGACAGCAGGTCAAACACCTCGTCCCACAATTCCACCGGAATATTGCCAAGACACAGATCCCAATGCGTGCGCTGGCTTGTTCCCTTTGAATGGCGATCAGGCAGCAATGAATCTCCAAGTGTAAGTGTTATAGCTAATATTGTTTTATAATTTCTCGCTTCTCGCTTTGACTAAGTATATAAAGAAATAAAATAAAATCCTTTTCTTCTAGTTATGCTAGCTTCTTAATATCCTCCTTTTTCACTGGTCAATTCTCGCAGCTATATTGCAAGATCGAGCGAACTGCGAATATATAAACGCCCGGATCTTCCACAAAGGTGATTCCACAAAGATTTCGGGAGAGCGCATTTCTAGCTACCATTGTCCGAGTTGTAATTTTGTCTGGCCATTCTGTATTCGGACTTTTCTCCAGTCTACAGTGGGTTTTGGGCCTTTTATCAGCTTCTTGTACATAAGACGAATAGACTTTTATTTTATTTATTATATTTTGATCCTGTACTCAGTTCTCTGCAGTTATTGGTGCATTGTTTAGCATTATTTGCATTTCATTGTAACTGTCAGCAAAAAGGGTTGCATAATTTAGCTTATTCAAGATCTATGATACTATGCCGTGGACTGATTTGCAAAATTTGCAAATCTTTTGAATGCTGACGAGCATTATTCAGTCCATCTTATAGTTTGAATATTTCT